CAGTCTTGCTACCTCCCTCTTGGTAAAATAAACACAGTAAACACGTATAAAGCACAAATAAAAAAATAAACACAGGCTAACCTAGGCCTTTGCAAACAATCTCTACTGAGAAGTATGGGCTGTCTGGGCCTTTCCAGAAACTCAAGCTGCTGAAGGAGATATGGTATTTAGTTAAGCTTAAGTGAAGCCCTGTATAAATCATAAAGAGGCGAACCCAGGTTACTCAAACAGGACCTTCGGAGGACCTTGGGGAATAGACTTGCAGGCAGCTTTATTTTTCTATAGCGGATTTACTTCCAGAATGCTGGGGCCCACAAGTACCCCAGGAGTAACTTGGCTCTTAAATGCTGGAGCAGGTCTTGGCCTTGGAGCACAGTTCTGGTGTTGTTTCCTGAATTCCCACATTGCTGTTTTCCACACATGGATCAAGCTTCACACTTCCTGTGTCTGGACTGTGTGTGTGCATGCGCATGCACGCATGTGTGTTAATATGCTTGGGAAGGGTGGAAAGGGGGAAGGAGGAGACCTAAAAGGAAGAGCTTTTAACTCCATACTTGTATTGCATATGTATCCCTTTGTTCCTTTCACGTACAGATAAAATTGCTATTTTTGCTATTTTCTGATCAGCTGGGTCTGCATGTTCAGGGCTAGTATTCTGGTAAATAAATAAATTGACTTCAAGAGTTGTCCTGGAGAAGCCTGCTTTTCACTGTTTGGCTGATATATTTGTAAGGTGTGTGGCTTGTTTTTTTTTTTTTGGTGGGGGAGAGTTAAGTGGAGCCATAAATCCTTAGGATTTATTTTCCCAGGTGTATGTGCTTGCCTCTGCTTTTGTTTCTTAATGCATTTAAGTGATTTAGTTTCTTGCCAGGCAATTAGAGGAAGATGTGCTCATTTCACACTCCCAGCTGACTTGGTTTTGTGGTCTTTCCTTCTAGAAAAACCTAGCCAGGGACTGAGGGGCAGACTATAAGCCATGTTTTCCTTCCTACTTTTCCTGTACATTGATTGGGCCTAACTATTGCATGCAAAGGACAGACTTTTTAAATTAAAACATGTATTAGTTGCCAAAATTAAAAACCAGGAGAGTTGACATTAAAAACATTTGGCTTCTGGGTTCTCTTGAAAATCTCAACTCCTGGCCACATTGGGCCTGCATTTGCCATGATGTTGGCCAAGCTGCTCCCCTTATGGGGGCCCTATCTTCTTGGCAGTATCCATTATTGGTCTTACCCCCTGACAGCGAGCCTGAGGGTTATTACCTTAAATTTTTTTTCATTGTGGTATAAAATATACGTAACATAAAATTTACCATTTTAACCATTTTTAAGTGTACAATTCAGTGGCATTAAGTACATTCCAAATGTTGTATCACTCTCACCACTCTCTATTTCCAGAACTTTTTCATCATCCCAAACAGAAACTGTGCTCATTAAACAGTAACTCTCCATTTCTTCCTTGTTGTCTCCTTCACCTCAGGCCCTAATAACCACTATACCACTTTGTGTCTTACGCATTTGCCTACTCTAGGTGCCTCATATAAGTGGAATCATGCAATATTTGTCTTTTTGTGTCTGGGTTCTTTCACTTAGCATGATGTTTTTAAGGGAGACATTGATTTTTTAATTGCCTTTTTCAGAGCATAGACACTGACTTTTATTGCATAATAAAGGAAGAGTTAGATTTTCTTGAAAAGAAAAATGGCCAAACAGGACAGGTAGTTTGGGATGGATACTCTTGACTTCTAAGCTTAAAAATGATCGTTACATCCTTTATTGATACATGGAGGCTCGTAACGTCCGTAGGCAAGCCAGCATCTTTACACAGGTGTTTAAGAGTTTGTGGCTAATTCCCCTGGTATCCCCCAGAGGCTTCTCCATAGTTTACAGTCAGGATATAAAGACACAGGGATGCTCTGGGGATTAGTTAACTGTGTGTGGCATACTTTGCTGTATAAACTCACTCTCTGGAACTAGATTTTGCTCTTTGCTCTCAACGTTCACAGCTTTTACTGTCAATCCCATTCATTGAGCACTTAGCATCTACTTCTTAGTTGTCTTTTCTACATGTAGCCTGGAAGGCAGGAGCTAAGTCTCATCCCTCTTTATTTTTTCAGTCTTGTCCATAACAGCAGCTCCACTGATGTTTGTTAGTGTTGGTGTCCCCAGCCCCCTTCCTTCTAAAGAGCTGGCAAAGTGTAGCTTTTAATTCAAACTCAGTTGAAACAGACTAAAGGGTTTTCAGGGAACAATCAAAAGAAGTCTTGTGTGGTGGGAGAGAAGGAACACCTAAGACACTTAGAAGACCTGGGCCAAGCTGAGGTACCAAAAAACCTGTTGTTGCCATAGGCTAAGAAGTGACTCACCTGCAGCCTGATCCACCATTAAATTCACAGCTATGCTCACGCCACTCTATGGAAAGTCAAATCTGGAGTAGAACAGTAATGACCAAGTCAGATTTGAGGATTGGGTATTAAAGGAATCAAGTGTTTTGGGGGTTTTGAAGATTACACACAGGCATTGAGAGAAAGGGACTATTCAAACAGGGTGGTGGAAACTCTTTTACTGTATTCCTTTCATACTGTTTTTATTTTACCATGTGCCTATTTTACTTTTTCCATTTTAACAGCACTGTTAATTTTAACAAGCATCCTGTTGCCACTGTGGTCAGTAATAGTCCGCATCATAGACCCACCCTATCTCACTCTGCTGTCCACCCCTCCAAAGAACAAGGCTGGAATAATCCCTTGCTTTACAAACCAGGTGCCTCTGTGTCTTCAGTGCTCAAAATCCCACCTTCCCCATGAAAAATCGAAACAACTTCATCTCACACATAACTGAATCATACCAATAAGCTATTTTGGCTGTGCTCCTGCTTCAACATCTTTCAATAGTCCTAACAGAGCACTCACATTGAGGCTACCCCACAGCAATGCCACCAAGCCCACTACTTTTCCCACACTGTCATATTCGGAGACCCTGTTCACCGTGAGATAGTGTTCCCTTTGAGTGCATATCCTCTTGCACACCTTGAGCTATGACCCTCATAAGGCTCTCATTAGGGAGGCTTGAATTGGATGTTACTTTTTCATTGACATGAATTCATTATAATGGCTGCGTGTTGTCAAGGCCTTTACATTTAGACTTGCTTTCTCCTTGCAACATTTTATAGGAAATATGGATTTGTAGAGAATGGTGGTTTCCATGGTAAATGGTCTCTCAAATTTGTTTTCTCAAGTTCACTTCAGAGGTACGCAGCATGATTTCCTCTTTCAGTACCAGCACCACAATACATTTAGGTCTTGGCGCCACTGCAGAACTGTTTAAAAAAGAAATCTCACACACCCTGGTAAGAAAAGGGGTAATTTATTATTCTAAATGCAGGGAGCCAACTTCCTATCTACCTCTCAACTGTAGGAAAAGAGTTGACTTTTTAAAATAAAGCCACAAAACCTACACACTTTAGATGCAAATGCTAAAAACAGAGGAGCATGTTATTTGATTCTCAAACACAGGCAATACTCTCCACCACGGGACATACACAAGTAGGAACACATCCATGTGTGGAGTGCTCTGTGGTTTAGTTTTCACACATAATTCATTTTACTTTCATATGCCAGTTTCATTAAGTTAATAGGGTATGTCTTATAGCCTTGATTTACAGATAGGAAAATTAAGGCTCAGAGAAGTTAAACAACTTAACAAAAGTCACACAAATGGATAACAAGTGCTAGAGACCAAAATGAGTTCTTCCTTTAGTTTCAAATTCCCTGTTAGCCTGCTGCCCCTTTATTGTTTATTTGTGCTTTCATTTCCCAGATGTCAAATGGAAGATTTTCAGTGTCTCTGTATGCTGTTTTCAACGATCTGTGTTCTTAAGCAATATCAATTTTTCGCACCGGGAAATGCGACCACATTGACACTTCGGGTACTGTTTCCCCGCCTCTGGCTTAATGAATAAAGAGGCAAGAAAAGTTACCTATTCCCAGAGGGCCGGCCAATAAAGGTGTACTGGCGCCGGCCGACACACTGTCGCACTCTCTTAGGAGGGTGAGAAAGCAAGCGTCTCATCTTTCTCTTCTCAGCAGTAGCTGGGGGGGAACGGAGAGCTAGACAATAGCCTCCTGTTTAGTTTTATTAATTTTGAGAGCGGGTGGGACAAAGGATCATATCGACAATTCAAGTGCCCAATCTCAAGCAAATCCTGGGCCAGGATTTGTCAACCGCAGCTGCTCAAGAATGGTGGGTGGGATTTACTGTGCGGAGTCCGCTCCTCCCAGGCGGGCCCTCCTACTCGCCCAGGGGTGCCTGAGGCTCCGCAGAGCCCCGCCCACGCCACCCAGCCGCCAGCTCGGCCCGCCAAGGGGGAGGGGAAAGGGGAGGCGAGGGGGAGCGGAGGAAGGGGGGAGCGGAGGAAGAAAGGAGGGTGTCTTGCAGAGCTGTGACCTGGGTGGGGACCTGCTCGTAATAGGAAGCAAGAGGGGAAGGAAAACGAAGGAGCGCTGCTCTTTCCTGCACGATTTTAAGCAGGCTTTGAGAGAAGCTGTTTTTCAGCATTTCTGTTGTTTTTCTTCCTCCCGCTGTGGGGCGGGGAGCGGCACTGGCTCTCCCACGCGACTCCGCTCCGCTGCTGCCGTAATTATTATTGGTCTTTGCAAAACCCCTTCCTTCCCCCCAGCCAGTCCTTGAGTAGACTCGCAGGGAGGGCTACCGTAACCCAGTCGCGCCACTGTAGTGGGAGAACGAGAGGCCAGAGCCCCGCTTTCATCTCAGCTGCTGGACCCCGCCGTTCAATTGTTTGAAACTTCCCCGCCCCCTGGCCCCGCCTCTCTTTCGCCCCCGCCCCCCCCACCCCAGGTCCCGGCCGCTCCCTCCCTTCTTTCCCCGCCCTCTACTCCGCCCTCTCCCTAGTCCACTCCCCGCGCTTGGGCGGTCCTAGTCGCTCACCGCAAGAAGAAAAGCCACCCATTCGTCCCCGTCCCTACCTCCCATCTTTTGCCCAGGAGCTGCCTTCACCGCAGTCACGCCCCTTCCTTCCGTGGAGCTCTCTGGCTGCCCAAGCTGGTAGACCCCCTGATTCATTCCTCCGTCTCTGCTCTCTTTCGCCTCTTCTTCTCTTAGTTCTCACCGCCCCCTGCTCCCCCGCCTCCAGTCTGTCTCGCCTCCGACCATCCGCTGCTCCACCCTCCGGCCCGGTATCCAGCCTGTCCGCTGCCACTAAGAAGAGCCTGGACGGAGTGCAAGGAGGGGAGCAGCCGGGAGTTGGGGCTTCCCCCCGCCCATCCCTGGCCTTCGGCCTGGGACCAAAGCCACTTGAGGGAGCAGAGAGTCGTCACCTGGTCTTCGCTGCCTTCAAGGGTAGGAGACGCGTGGTTACTTTTCGCGGGGAACTGGGGCAGGTTCCACGGTGGTATGAACTTGATCGTGCCCTCAGCGTGAGTGAGTCGATCTAGATGCGTGTGGGAATGCCCGTGTGCTGTACTTTCTTTGCAGCTGGCCATGAGTTTTCCGGGATGTGCTGCAATTTAAATCGATTCAAGAGTGTGCACTTCTTTTTTGTGCTGTGGAGATGCTAATGGGTACCACTACTTGGTACTTTTGTTTCCTTGCCTCCTAGGGTCCTTGTAGGTCTCTAGGTAATTGAATACAAAAAGAATTAAAGACCTGAGGGAACTTGACATCTACATTTAACTCAACAGGAATGTCTGCACTTATCTCAGATGGCTAGATGTGTTCCTCCTACTAAAGACTTAGGGTTGGGGTGGGGAGACTCACACTCCCCTCCCTCGGGGGCCGTGAATTCTTGAAGTTTTAAAAGTCAGAGTCATCTACAGTGCTACGTCTTTTTCGTTTCTGTGTGATGGTGATGGTGGCTGTGAGGAGGAGTTGCCCCCTTACCAAAATGAAGAGAAGGGAAAGTGAGTCTGTAGACTGTGGGCTGTCCCTGGTAAATTGCCACTAATAATAATATAGTGATGTGCATCAAGAATACAATTAAATGAGAGAGGAAAGGAAGAGTTTGTGAGAAACGGCATTTCCAGTCCATAGCATATATTTTAGAAAGAAATTTCTGACACCTTGGAGTGTCTAATTTAGTTCTCCCTCCTCCTGCTCTCCCCTCACCCCTCATAAAGAATGGAAATAGGGAGGCATTTAAAACTTTAAAAAAATATAACCACCTTCTCCCCTTGAGAGAAGATAATTAGTCACCATAATCTTCAATAATGGAGGGCTAAGGATATTTAAGTCTCGGTTGAACTAGGTTTTGTGAAAAGTCCTTTCCCAGGCCAGCCTTTGGATGCAGTCTCAGTTTTAGACCTTTCAGCGCCCTCATTTAGTTGCTAAAAACAGTTTGAAATGCCATTTTGGACAGGGAATAAATCTTCACCTATCTCCAATTGGGCAAGCCTGTGGCAAACTTACAAGAATGGTGGTGTCTGAAGACCTATTACCAAGATATCCCCAACCCATTGCTTATTTGGGAACAAATTATTATTTACTGTATTTTTAAGTAATTTCACTCATCGGTTTTAATGTAGGAAAGGAAAGCAGGAAGGGAGAGAACAATGTTACAGGGTGACAATTTCAAAGGCTTATCTTATTTCAGATCAGCTGGGAGGGAAAAGTTGGCCTGACCAAACTACATTTTATAACTGGCCTGGGATATTTTAATAGCCAGGTGGTTGTAGAGTAGTTGCATCTATTTACAGATGATAACTCAGGTTCCAGCTATGGGTTTATTCAGTGTCACTTACAGACACTTTCTGGCACTACATCATACTTCATTTTAAGATACTTCTTTCTTTGGAAAAGTCTGTGACTCCATAAAATTGAAAGGGCTTTTCTAACATCATAGTCTGGATATGAAGTAAACCTCTGACCGTGCTTGTATGTAGAATAACTTTCATGTGAAAGTTGCGGATCTGTTTAACTACTTGAAAGATTTTAGAAGGGAATGTAAAATTCCTATTCAATACTGTTTTGGATTTGGAAATCGAACTCTCATTTCTGGTTTATGAAGCAGGATTTATTAGACTAATGCATAACCAAGGCATTTTGTGAAGTTGCTTTTACTGAGGTTTTGTAAAGAACGAATCAGACTTTCTAGAATGCCTTAGGAACAGTCTATTCAGAAAGCAGAGGGATGGATGCTATGACCTTGAGGTCCCATTGAGTGCAAGAATTCTAAGTGGGTACATCTGCTTCTGTGCCTCTCCTAAGAGCCCTCTCTCATGGCCTGAGCCTTCTTTAAAAGGGTGTCTTTGTAATTAAACAGCCCTTTCTTCCTTTGATCCAGCTTTTTAAGGACTTTTTTCCATTTCAAGACAAGAGGAGTTTCTCACAATCTCCTATTCCCTTCTTAAGGTTTCCTTTCCTTTCCCCCCAAAAACGTCCCCTGAAGTTCTCAGGATGGTTAGAAGTTGTTTTGTTTTATTGTTCTTGGAGGGAGAGGGAATTGTTACCAATGAGGAGGAGTAGAGGATATATTCCCTCTTGGGAAATGCTTGTGACCAGGTAGCCTCCTCCATGGAGACTGAACATTTGGAATGCATGAGAACTCTCTGGAAGTTGTCTGGAAGACAAGTTGTCTGGAAGAAGTTGTCCTTTGCACCCATTAAGCCCAGCTTAAACCCACTGAAAGAGGTGGAGAGAGGTGTGTGTAATTGTGGCTGAGCTGTTTAGGATGGTAAATGGGTAAATGTTCCCAAATCTCCTATTACCTCATCTCTTTCCCCCATGGCTTCAGTGGTTTTGGAGATCTGTTTGACAAGTTAATTAGCTTGGGACTAAACCAATTTGCTGAGAATTATGCTCCATTGGTTTCCTGTCCCCAGGAATTTTTGTTGGTGGTTTACTATGACGTGTTGCTTTTAGTCTTGCTTATTTCTTCATTCCTTGCTGCCTTTTGTGGACTTTGGTCCAAAATCTAGTGTCCCACCCCCAAGTCAAAGGTTAGAATTTGGCCCCAGGAACTAAGGAGGCATTAAACAGACTGCCCATACTGCATTACTCTCCTCCATGGTGGGCTTCTGACCCCTTTTAGCCCAGAGAAAGGAGGGAAGTTGCCTCCTCCCATACAACAAACAAACTCTCAACTAAAAACAACAACAACAACAACAAAAAACAGGAAAATAGGAAGTCATTTGCTTTATGAATGAATCCACTGCAGGTTTCTTTGAAAGAACTGGCTTTCCTTGTCAGTGTCTTTGAACTATGACTTAATACATAAAAATTCACTGTAACTGGGCCCTCTCAGGAGCATTTATTGCGTAAAGGAAAGCATTAGTATTTTGTTATAATAATTATTGCTTGAATTAAGTGAGGCCATTATTTGGCCTTTGAAATCTTTCTGTTATATGGGATGGAGTTAATTGTCTAAAATCATTAGACAATTAGTGTAGTGTTTAGCTCTAGCCTATAACCCATTGTGGAAGGGAGCTAGTATGACTTTGGAAATCCATCACACTTCAGATATTGATAAATATAAGGATGGGACTTTCTGCCTAATACAAATAAAATATTTTAGTTCTAGGTATTGCATTTGAATAACCCAAGAATCTAGAAAGTTGTTTCTGGTAAATAATAACAACTGATGCCATTTTTATTGAAGAATCTACGATAAACTTTCCTAGTAAGTGCATTGGTGAGAGGGCCCTGGCCTCTATGCCTACCTCTAACTCAGTTTACCACCCTTGGCAAATTTCCTTTTCTGTAAATTGTGGGGAATTGGACAGTTCGACTTTGAGAACCAGTTCCCAAAGTTTATGGCTCTCTTCCTAGGCCTTGATGGACGGTGTGAATGGGAATGATGCATATTAGAATGAAAGGCAAATATCAGAAATACCATCATGTAGTCATGTGGATGTAAAAAAAGAAAACAAAAACCTGTAAGGATATATTAAAATAAATGCATTGTGTTTTGCATTTTAACATTATCAAATTAAAAAGCTAAGACCCTGCCCAAAGCTTCACCACACTAAGTATCCCATCATCTTAACAGATAACCTGCTTTCATTTTTCCTAGTCAAAGCCTTATTTATGTATTTATATGAATTTTACATAGCTGGGGTCATAGAAATATACAATACTGCTTTTAAATAAAAGCCCACATAAGATTTAGCTTTGTAAATCTGTGCGGGAGGAATGAAGTCAGAGCCTGAATATGCATGAAGATTCACATATGTTTGTTTCTTGAGTGTCAGGAGAGACTAACGGATTTAATAAGTAATCCCTAAACCCTTTCTGTGATTTAGGGGTCTTCCTGTACCTAACGAAGCTGTTAATTCTACTCCCTTGACCTCCTGTCCCCCTGCCCCATTCTTTTTAAGCAAAGGGAAACTAGGGCTCACTGTTTACTTTGTCTAAATAATTTGCAGTGCTTCTTAAATCACTGCATCATGATATCCCATCAAAAGAGTACAAATTTGGGTAGACTATGAAATCTCCCAAACAAAAAAGGAAAAGCACAAATGTTTTGTTTTATAGCTTTGAAAGGAATGTGTTTAAATTAGACTGAAAAGTAGTAAGGAAACTAAGGATTTTAAACAATGAAATAAAAGACATGTAGGTGTAGCAGGATGACCCACACATAATCGGTTCTTTGTTTCAGGCCTTCCTCATGTAGTGAAAGTTTGGTCACACAATCCTTTAATTTTCCTTTGATAGCGAAGGCATACTATACATATGATCTCCATACTGTACCCTTCAGTCTATACACATAGATTCCCTGATCTTCAATTTTGGATGGACTCATTCCTGGAAACCAGAGGCTCATCATATAATAGATTAAACGTCTTTAAAAGTGAAGTATAGGTTTTTAGGACTTAGAAAGTACCAAGTTAAGTACAGGAACATTTTTTTATGATACATATTCATGGGGAAAATGCAGATGGCTATATTTGGTAGTTGTTTCCTGAAGCAATTTTTGAAAATCGACTTTTTTTTAAATTCTCTAGGTTTCCCTTGACATTTGTAAAGTCACTTTCACTATTGCCCCAACTCCATGAATATCATTAGACTTGAAGCCAGGATCCGGGTTTCTCTGCATAACCCTCTCTGACTTGCCGTGGCACCAAGGGTAAATGAATTAGCTGCTCTGAGCTCCAGTTACCCTTCTGGGAAACAAGGGTATTACTACTTCACAGAGGTGTTTAGGCATGCTTCATATTGGGCACCTGCTTTGAGACCATTGGGTGAAAGGTGTTTGCAGCATGGCAGAGCAGGCTTATTATATAGAGTCCTGAACAGGTGTTCACTTTTAATGAGTTCTGCCCTCTTCTAACATACAGTGCCCTTTGGTGCCTCATTGCCTTACTGACTGTAATAGATTGTCCCAACATTTGTATTATTGACCGTTT